GAAGGACGCGACCTTGCGGAATTCCGTTTCCAGTTGGGCATTATTGTCCACTAAAGTTGCATTTTGTTCTTCCAAGGTCTCTGCTTATAGAGGAGCCTCTACTGGGCTCTCTGGTCTGCGTGAGGCGTTGACGTTCATGAGAATCATCATTCATGGCACTGTTGGAGAATGCCCAAATATGGTTGCAAGCCAAATGTCTACTCATCCCAGCCTCACGCTCTCTCTACATTTGGATCGTATTTTACCAAAATTTCTTGGCGGAATTGAAGAGCGCACACTTCTGAACTCCCAATATTAGAAACTCCTTGGGGCACTCCTGGTTTCACTATAACGCGTTTTGTCGCGTTGAGTATAACAGGCCAGAGACCATAGTCCAATTGGCACACAGATTGGTGGCGACAATCGCTTATACCCCGCTCAATTTCGTATCCCAGAGGATATATCGCATTGAATATGAATACTACTGTAACGGAGGAGGCTGAAGCTTCGGCATTCATCGCGTGGCTAGCTACCTTCCCCCTGCAACATCCAGCGTCGGCCCTGTCCGATCTTAACGATGGTACATCGCTTTCTGATGTACTCAATATCGTGTATGTTTGCTCTCAAACCCATCCCGTAACTCTAGACGAGCAAATGCGTTAACGCTTTTCTATCCCTTATTAAATCCAATGAATGAACGCGTTTATCTCATGAAACCCCAGAGATCCAAACTTCTTCCCAAAGCCTACTACTGCGCCTGATTTACAAATCGCGGATAACTGGCCACTTCGATTTACAGCTCTAAAGCGTCTCTTCCGGCTTATTACACAGTACTTCATTGACATACTTAAACAATCACCTTCCCATGTCAATGCTTTAGAAGTTCCGGATCTACAGAAGATGGCAAGAGATGGCGACAGGAAGGGAACGTTGAATCTCTGCAGGCTATGTATCGCCATTGCCGTAATGAGCGCTAGGAATCAAGATATCATTGCTGGTATCCAAACTTTGGAAGAAGCCCATCAACAAAGATTAATGGAAGCTATTGCACTTGTGAGTCCTTTCCAACTCTCTGCCTGTTCAAGCACTCAGATATCCATCATCTAGGTCATGTCGAAATTAGAAACACAGGGAATTGTAGAACAAGGGGACATGAGCCAAATGACCCAGTAAATCCTATCGTGTGGTTATACCATAGACCTAACCAATCACGCGTAGAGACGACCACTTTTATGAAATGCAACTAGAACGTTCAAGAGTCCTTTCCGATAAGGAAACGCTCGAGAAGGTCTATCAAAATCTACTGGAAGAACACAGAACGTTACAGAGCAACTTTGTAAGGCGGCATTTATGCACCTTTTACTTCTTGACCGACGATGTACTGAGCCAGCCTAATTAAGGAAGACCTAACTGCCGAGAAAACAGAGCTCGGCTTGCAACTAGCCCAATCAAAGCGGGAAGTGGAGTCCATGCAAGGAGGGAATATAGCCAGCAAGGTATACCGCCTTCTCTTTCTATTTCATCCCGAAGACAACTTCTATACTACTTTCGTTCCATTCAATGAGCCTCATTATCAAAATGCTGACTTTATCGACCATTTAACTAGAGTGACGTGATGAAGCGAGCTGAAATCGACCGCCTACGAGCAGATCTCCAGAAGAGTGAAGATAATTTACATGTATCTGAACAAGAAGTGGAAAAGCAGTCTAATTTGGTAGCCGAGTTGAATAGGTAAGTCAATATTCACTTTAAATAGTTAGTTACTAATACCCTGTTCCCTTTGATTGTATGTAAATCTATAGAAAGGTCGAAGAACTACAACTTCAGGCGGATGAAGCAATGAGGCTGAAGGATCAAGTTGACGAATATCGCCATGCTGCCGAGAAATTGGCCAAGACTGAAAATGTCATGGAAAAATACAAAAAGAAGCTTGAGGAGAGCGCAGATCTTCGACGGAGGGTTAAGGTAGCTATCCATGGACAACGATGTACTATATAGGGCTCATATCCTTGCCTCTAGGCCTTGGAAGAACAAAATGCAACTTTAGTGGACAATAATGCCCAACTGGAAACGGAATTCCGCAAGGTCGCGTCCTTC